AACAATGGATTCAGCCATCAGTAGACTGAAACTTTGAAACCATGAGCCCAAAATAAACTTTTCCTCCTCTAAGTTGGTCCTGAAGGGGTTTTGGTCACAGCAATAAAAAGGTGATGAACACCTAGCTGCAATGTTCAATTAAGACTGTTCCTTGACTCACAAATATTCTCTCACTATATAGAAAATAATATTTCAAAATAATATTATCCACATTTTTCAAATGCAATTTATATCTTATTATCCTATGGATAGTTAATCAATTATTTACTGATATAATCTCCCATTGTATTTAATTCATACCTATAATGATATTCATTCATAGGTGATTTATATAGCTCTGTAGGCTAGACTGAGCTTTTGAAATATGTCTAAAACTTATTCAACTGATGTTTTTTCCAGTTCCAATACAATTTCAATATATAATAAATTGCATTTTCTTTGGAATAGTGACTACTCCTTTCTGTGGAAAAAATTGTAGCTGCCTGGCTCATCAGGTTATGTTTAGTCATATGACTTCTTGTGGTCAATGGTAGAAATAATGTATGCCACTTCTAAGCAGAATCTTTAAGAACCATCATATGGTTCCCTTACACTATTTTCCCTTCAACAAAATAGAGCAGAGTCACAGCCCACTCACAGTGAATGTAAAGGCTGAGGAACAAACAAGCCTTTGTTCTATGCCATTGAGATATTGGAACTATCATTGCAAACAAATAATTTAGTCTAAGACATGATATGCAATAAATATTGAAGTAAAGAAGAAAGGTTATTAAGATATAGAAATAAGTTTTTAGGTGGAGGCAATTTTGTTTTAAACATAACCTATTGAAAAGAAAAAAAATACACTTTCGTGAGTTACTAATTTTGAGAAACAATGGGAAATTGAGTTGGAAGGGGAAAGGTAAATTGTAGAAAGGAGTATATATTTTTGATAATGTAATTCTAGGAAGAAAATGAAGGTAAATCCTTGCTATATGAGCATGTCTTTAAAGACATCTTCAGGGAAGATTTTAGGGCTCTAAGTTTCTGCTGGGAGTGGTTTTGAGAACAGGTTAAGAGGTACGGAGATTCTTCCTTGACTTGAGCCAAGTTCTAAGTTAAGAACACTTATCCTATTTCAAATGTCCATATTACTCTGTTTGTGCAGCCAAATAAAAACTACAAGACTGACTAAAACAACATCCTGATTAAAACTATGTATACAGTCAATGCTCCATTCACTCCATGATTGTACAAACATGGAATAAACATTAAATTAGTGAAGACTGTCAGTTGCTCCTAAAGGAAATACACACTTAGGTTCTGTGAGTCTCTAGTCACAATATTTTCACTTGCTAGTCATATGCAACTTTATTTATTTGTTCCTTTTTGAAGCTATTCTCACTTACTTAATAGTATTAATTCATTAACATTGAACTTGAAGCAAACACTGTTTTATCCGTTCTTTATGAATAGTTTTATATTCAGCTTTCTTGTGCTTACACTGAACAACATAGCCTCACTAAGGCTGGGTGCCATGTGAGGCAGCAAAATCACCAGCACAAAACACAAAACTAGGAAAGACCTGGCACCAAATAGAATGTGAAAAGCACACATTTTTATTGTATGAGAACTGATGTAAAGGCCTAGGGACATCCTTTTCAACCTCATTTGGGACTATGCATGCCAGCTTTTTGTTTCTGCATGCATACCTGTGAACAACTGCAAAAATACCACCAGTATTGATTTGGTTGTTGCAAATAAATTTTTGGAAATAAGTGAATTTTCAAATACATTTTTTTGCTGTTCTGGGAATTGAAACCAGGGCCTTGTCTGGGCTAGGCAAGTGCTCTAGAACTGAGCTATAACTCCAGCTCTAAATTTGCAAATATAGAATTTATAAATATTGAAAATACTATATATAAAAAAATTAGAAAGGAAGGAATGATATAGATGATAAGGAGATAGGTAGCATGTCCACTAGTGAGATGAAAGAGAAATTAGATGAATAGATGGATCGCAGATAGGTAAAAAAGTAAAGCTAAATCAGTGCTTTACATAGAGTTGTTTTTCAATAAATGTTAGTTCTTTCCCTTTTCCCCTTGTTTTGGGGGAAACACATGCCACCCAAAGCATTAAATTGATGCCAACATTTTGAAGGACTACTCTGTCGAAGTAATAGAAAGCATTAGGTGGTAGAAAGGTATGTTCAGGATTTCTTAGCATTTCATTTTATTTTGGGATTTATTACATCTTAAATCTCAAAAGCATTTGTTAAGAAAAATGTTAACATTTTATAATCTAAAGCATCCTTTAACTTCACATCATCAAATGTCTTTTCTTGTGACTTACCCAGCACATAGTCTCATTCAGTTTGAATAGAATGACCCTGTTTTGCACACAGGTGTTGGGATTTTCTTTTTCTGCACTATCCTCTTTATGATTTTTATTTTGCTCTTGATTAGAAATATCTGGAACAAAAATCATTTTAACTAAACAACTGAACCTTTAAGGCTAATAGTAAAGCATCATTTTTTTTTACAAGCTTAAACTTAGAGATTTCTATCTGAAAAAAACAAAGAGAAAGAACATGATGAGAGATAAGTAAATTAACACTCTTTGGTCCTGACGGTTTTCCTTTATGAAAACATTGCCTGCAAGTAACTTTTTCAAGACAAGCTTTTTTACAATTCCCATTAAATTCAATGAATGAATTGTGAAGGGTAAATTGGACCCATTATAATCTTACATTTCTTATGTAATATTCATAATCATAGTGTTACATAAGAGTGAGCTAATGTTAACAAAAGGAACAATTTAAATTGCCACTTCCTTGGAGAATGGGGCTCTGCTTGACAAACAGAGCTTCCTGTCCCACTTGCAGCACGCCCATGCAGCTCCTGGAGTGGCAATGAGACCCACACTCCCATATCAGTGATATAATAAACCCTCCACAACACAGAGAGAAAGTGAGGCAAACAAGCCCACTTCATTTCAACTTGTCAGCTTTAAATAAAATCTTCTGGAGCTGAAAATGAGAAACTTGAGGAAAGACAATGTGTGAAGTAACCAAATTCAACACTGGGACAAAACATATTGCATTACACTTTTTTCCCCCTAATCTGCCACAAAAGTTTTTTCAGATTTTACCATAGATAACTTTTAATAAGATATCTTCCTGTCAAGGAGACTTAGAGAAAGAAATGGTTCCTTTTGTTTATTTATTTATTTTCTCTTCTTCTACTTATTGATGCTATAGGAAATACCTCAAGTCATTGCAAATTCCCATAACACCTATGTGACTTCTGGAGCAACTCTTAATTAATTATTTTTTTAATCAGACTTGGTATAATAGATCATAATGAAAAAAAGTGCATTCTTTTTGTGTTATTGTATTTATTAACTTGCATAACTACATATTGGTCTTCTGTGCCACTTATTGGATCATGTTCTTTGTCTCAAAGACAAAAATTCTAAGAACAAAAATGCATTCAAAAGAAAATGGAATCACTGAGGTAAACAGTACTTGATAATAGAAGTCCCTTCCCTTATCCTCCCCCAGTGCCCACTGCCTTCTTCCTGGAGCACAGGTTCAAACACCTCCTGCTTTCCATTCCGGGGGCTCTTCTCTATTCTTCCTCTTATCTTCCTCTATATCTCTTCCCTTACATTTTTGGTGTTGCTGTTTTAAATTGTCAAATTTTCCTTTTCCTTTTTATTTGCTTAAAGAGCAGTTAGAACCTCTTCAAGAGAAAGGCAGAAGCACCAAGTCCCAGCAAACATGCAGCCCTAGCTGTGTGTGTTCCATTGGGGGGGTGGGGGAGGATTCCAAGGTGCCTTCTCCCTGGGCCCCCTGGAGTATCCAAGTTTGATTTAAACATTTTTTCTTGCGTTTTGTTTCCAGTGTTGTGTCCCATGTATTTCCCAAATAAGCTTAGAATACTCTTTTGTTATTGTTATACTGTCTTATAGCTTTATAACATGGACTGTCTGATTCCAACCTCTTTTATTTTAAAATTCCTAGGTTACTAATTTGAGTTATTAGTATATATAATGATAGTAGGTTGAGGAGTGTGATCCCTGTCCTGAACCTTGATGGCCCATTGTTAAGAAGTTCTTTCAATCACTTTAAAACATGATTTTAAATACATATTTTAAATATAATTGAAAAGTTCTATGGGATAGCAAAGGGTATATGGGTGATGGACTACCATGATTTAAGTTTGAGACTGAAATAGTAGAATGAGTATAATTAGAAAGTTTTTTTTTATTCTCTATAATTCACTTGTATAATGTTAACAAAAATTAATATCATGTTATAGGGTGGTTAAATTAATGTTAGGCATGTACTGGAAATATTTTTATTCTTATGATTATTTTAATGTTTATCATAAAGTAAAAGAAATGAGTATATTGAAAGTTAACCTGACATATCCAGTATCAATAAATGGTAAACTGACACTGTGGTGCACACCTATAATTCCAGTGACTCGGGAGGCTGAGGCAGGAGGATTACAAGTTCATGGACTGCCTCAAAGCTTAGTGAAAGCCTGATTCAAAATAAAAAAAATAAAGAGGGCTGAGGATATAGCTCAAAAGAGATGTGCCCATCCCCCAGGTCCAATCCTCAGTATCACTGAGAAATAGGGGAAAAAAAAGGTGTGAATGGTTCTGTTCTATTATGCAGTGTAAATGCATATATTGAATTTTACAACAAGTAAAATTCTGCTAAAAGTATTAGGTAATTTTTTGCAACTCAAGATAAGAGAGGTTAGCATTCTGAAGCCTAAAGTTTTCTTGGTGTTACTGCACTTTTTCATTTTAACAAGCTGTTATCTTAACAATCACCTAGGTATAATGCATGACCATCCTGTGGTCTGAGGTACCCATTTCATGACTGACATAGTAAACCAAAAAATAGAAAAAACAAAAGGAATCATTTACTCAGAAGATTTCTGTTCTGTTTTTTTTGTTTGTTTGTTTGTTTTTGTTTTTGTCTCTGTGTGTGTGTGTTCCCACAGTGATGGCTGGGCTGATAGGTACGATGTGACAGATGGATATCAGCGAGAAGCTGTTGGTGGAATCACAATCAAGCTCCAATCTCCTGATGTCAAGTGGTTTGATGATTACTATCTGAAGCTCCGGCCAGAAACAAACCTCCGAAACCCTTGGTTTCAAGAATTTTGGCAGCATCGTTTTCAGTGCCGACTGGAAGGATTTGCACAGGAGAACAGCAAATACAACAAGACTTGCAATAGTAAGCAGATTTATTGTATCATTTAAAGTGTACAAGGCTAAGACTCCAATCTAAGTGAACTATGTCATGAGGATAGTGGCTGTAATTTGTTAGCAAGGAGGACTCTCAAATACAGTAGGTATTACCACTTAATGGTGATAAGCAGGTTTTATTCTCGCTAAGAAAAACATATCTCAGCAAGTGTTCACTCTATTGAGATTTAAAATGATTAAATTATTTATATTTATATCATTGAAATAATTGGATATGTTTTTGTGAGACACAGTACTAAAAGATCATATGGGCTTTAGATGCACCTATTCTTGACACCCTTGAAGGCAAGGACTACATTCTGCTCATTACTATGATACTAAGCAGATGGAGGACCATTTTTATTATCTCAGTACAGTAGAAGCACGTATTAAGGGTTTTATATAGATTTGAAGAGTTAATGAGTGAATACTGACAACACATCCAATTCCTACTTCCATTAATGAAACATAAAATAATCACTGAGATTTTACTATGTACAATTATGTTGTTTCAATAAACACTCTTAAGATATTCAAACATTTGGTAAATGCTTATAGAGATCCACAATATGTCAAATATTGCCTTAATAGGGGTACTATGATAGGAGAAATTAGTTTCTTCCTTCAAAGATTTAGTGTCTAGAAAGGGAGATATGTGCCCCCTCCCTCCAAAAAAATTGCTGTTCTATGTTGCAAGTATTGCAATGAGGGATAAACAAAGTATTTGGTTAGGATCATCTGTTGCACATCCTAAGTCTTGGCTCTAATCACCAGGTAGAGCCAATATTGACATATATGGCAATTTCTGAAAAGGTTAAAGCTTGTTAAAATTGATAAGGGATTTGTTGAGACTGATTTATCCCATACTGTGTAATAAGAACCCCCATGCATTTTCCAAGGTGTGAAATATTCTAGTTGTTAGAATAATTGCCTGTACCCATGTTGATGGAACCCCAGAACAATTTGATGTAGAGGGTTTGTAATCCCATTTCTAGTACCAATTACATTCATGGAGAGTTTATTGATATTGGCATCGAAATAAGGAAAATCAGGAACTCTTAAAGCATTCTCTCTCTAAGCTCATATCTGTTCTATGCATTGGTATCAATTCTTTTTTTATGAAATGATGGAGAGTGTAAGTGGTGATTGTTTCTAAATGCCATTATTTGGTAAAACAAGAACTTGGCAAAACTGTCAGTTCCTGTTTAGGTAGTATGGAGAGGAGGAATGTTGGAAAGGGGGATGTTAGGAGATTTATAGTTTCTTCCTTCAAAGGTTTAGTGTCTAGAAAGGGAGATATGTGCCTTCCCCCCCCCCCCCCCAGAAAATTGACTTACTGGTCAGTGAAATCCAGAAACCACAGAAGTATGGTATGAGTATGTCTGCCTTTCTTCTACTTGCTTTCCTGCTAACTCCTTTCCAAATTTTCAAATACTTATTTGTTTCCTTTTTTATTTTTTTATTTTCCTTTTAAGATGTGTGAGAATAAATAGCATTCTCACTTAAATTTCACAATTTTAATTTTGTAGCTAATTTTGTAGTTGTCACATATCTATCCAATTTTGGAAGAAAACACTTATTTCCTCTTTTGAAATTTGGGGAGCATATACTTCTCTCATGTTCCTACTCTATGTTTCTGCACAGATTACTGTACATAGCTATTCTGGAGACATTATCAATAATAAGCAATAGCTCTGTTCTCATCTCCTGTTCTTCAGTACTCAGGAGTTGATGACAACTCCCCACCAGTGTGTTTAAGGGAATTGTTTCAGTTGGTATGTACCTTCTTAATGTTCTTTTCAGACTCCTTTTTGTCTGAAATGCTACCTCTTACAAATAGTTACTTTTTTCTCTCTTCCTTTGTTGGAGGCCATATTTAGATATATTCTTGAAAGAAGTTTGGTAAAATCTTCCCTTTGGCACTGAGCCTTTTGGCACAGTGAGATGTGATCTTACTGCTCAGAATCTGCTCCTCACTGTCCTAATGAAAGGTACTCTCCTAGGCCCCCACTGGGTTTTTTTTATTCTTTTTTTTTTCAATGCTGAGGTTCAAACCCAGGGCCTTGTGCATACAAGGCAAGCACTCTACCAACTGAGCTATATCCCCAGCCTCACCATTGGAATCTTAATTGACAACCAATGTTTGGTGCATAAACTTGGACATTCAATAAGTAATACCTCTGTTTTTCTTCTCATCCTGGGAAGATTATTGTCTTCATTTTAATGATCAAAAGTAAACATGATTTAGGGAGACAAAAGTACTTCCTCAAAGTCATATGTCCATTAAGTGCTGGAACTTAGAATTAAACTCAGATTTGTCTAGAGTTTAACTAGTGAAATTTACTATAGAAATAGAATAGAATAGATTAAAAATTATAATCATCAAATTTGCATTAAGCCATGCCTGTAATCCCAGCAGTCTGAAGGCTCAGGCAGGAGGATCCAGAGTTCAAAGCCATTCTTAGCAAAAGCAAGGCACTAAGCAACTCAGTGAGACCCTGTATCTAAATAAAATACAGAATAGGGCTGGGATGTGGCTAAAAGTGGCTAAGTGCCCCTGAGTTCATTCCTGGTTGCCCCTCCGCCCATTGCATTATATGATAATCAATATGTATCAAAAAAATACAAGGGAAATAATTCTTGAACCAGAAGCAGTGGCACATACCTGTAGTTCCTGCTGCTAGGAGGCTAAGCAGTAGGATCACTTGATCCAAGTATAGGTCCAACCTGGGCAACACAGTGAAAACTTGCCTCAAAATATATATTTTTAAATGATTTATGTATAGCTATAGAAGGTAATTATACAAAGCCAAACATTCATTACCGCCTAGTTTTGACCCTAGTTCCTTATCTACTCAAATGTCATTTTGGCATCTCATCTTTATCACCTAAGGGAATTTAAGTTGTTCTATGCTCCTGTTGAACCTGATTTTATTTCTTGAATTTGAGACATTCTCTGAGTGTCTGCTTCTATCATTCTGGAGCATTTGGCAGTTCTATGATGTATTATACTATTAAGCATTTCATGCACTTATTGAAAAATAGGCCTTCTCTTTTGTAAAGTATTCTTTCAAACATGATTTTGAGTTTATTATCTTTTAAATATTTCTTTTAAAAATCCCTCATATACTATGGATCTGAGTCCTTTGTCAGATAAATGTACTGTTGAATTGTTTAATCAGAGGCTTATTTTTTTAATCTTCTATTTCTCTCATTAATCATTTGTTTTCTATTTGGCCAATTCATTTTTTAAAAATATTTTTTGGTTGTAGATGAATACAATATCTGTATTTTATTTGTTTATTTTTATGTGAGGCTGAGGATTGAACCCAGTGCTTCACACATGTGAGGCAAGTGCTCTACCACTGAGCTACAGCCCCAGCCTGGCCAATTCACTTTTTAATTCTTAATCTCCTATTCTTTCCTGCCTTCTTTTATATCAATCAATAATTTTAATTATTCTATTATCTTACTTCTCTTAAGACATTTGTTTCATTTGTTAGAATAAGTCCTTTAGAGTTTTTAGATAGAAGTTACCAAATGACTCCTCAATTTAATATACACTATTTTAAAGTTGGTTCTTATTTCCATTTAAAAATCTTGTAAATTTTTAACTCTACACCCAGCACTTTGTTTTGTTATTAACACATATTTTACTTTTATATAAATATATACTCTAGGGCTTCAATATGATATTTTCCCTAAACAGTATTGACCAACTTGATGGTTTTAGTAAGTTTTATTTAAATTGCACCATTATGGGAGATTTAAATTATAAAGTAAATTAATGATGACAGTAAATTTAACATATCAATAATATAATTTCTCTTCTCTTATTGTGTATTTAACCTAGTAGCAAAGTTTAGAGAATTAAATCAAGATTGTTTTCTAATAAGCATATCCCATTTCAGCTGGTTCAAGGACCATTACCTTTATATTCATTCTCTGTCACCTGCTGACATTCATTGCCATCTCCAATCTATGATTTCTCCCCGTTGCCTCCAATAGTTTCCAGAAGTGTCACTTATGACATTAACACACAGATATTTTCACCTAGATGTCCTAAGGGCTGCTCAAACTTATATATCTAAAATTAACCTCATTATAACTTCCATATTAACCACTCCAAACTTTCAGTTTCTCCTTTTTGTTTTCACAGCTGAAGTCAATGACATACTCATCCCCCTCCCTGTCTCCCAAGACACATGAGTGAGTAATACTCACCTACTCTACCCTTGGAGCTGAGTGGTGACCTAATAATGTGAATCCCACCATGGCCTAAATATCCATCATGGTATGACAGTGTTAATTTTTCATTCTCCCTCACTTCAAGTATTAGAATCTCCCTACCTAACCATATCCATACCAGCTTCTTTTTCCTGTGCTTATGCTGAAAATTAGTCCCAAGGATGTTCATGGAAGGAAATAATATCTCATCATGATCCTCCCATTCTATAAGATCTTGGTTATCTGATGTCTACAAAAATATCCCAGAACTCTTTTGCTCTAGTCAAAACATTTCCAAATAGTTAATTATGTTTTTCAGGTCTCATTAATATATATATATAGTTGTAGATGAACACCATACCTTTATTTTATTTATATATTTATATGTGGAGCTGAGGCTTGAACCCAGTACCTCACACATGTTAGACAAGCAGTCTACTGCTGAGCCACAAACCCAGCCTTCAAGTCTCATCTTGTATTCCCTAAATCCATGGAGCCTGTGCTCCAGCCACTTCACAGATTGTGACCTCCCATGTAAAGTGGCATGCCTATTTAAGTGCCTGTGCTTTTTCATGTTACTGAGTTTTACTTCAGGAAAAAACCCACCTCAGAATATTTTCATTCCAGAGAGCTTATGTTCTCATGTTTTTTTTTTATTTTAATTTTAATTTTTTTTAGTCATACATGACAGCAGAATGTATTTTGACATATAATACATACATGGAATGTACATATCTTTCCTGTTGTCACTGAAACTCTACT